TGTTGATGTCATCTATCGTAGTTTCGTAGACAAGATGGGTGCCGGGGTTGACTGATTGAGGCCGTGAACGAGATGATACGGAGGGTGCTATCCGATTTGGCATCTCCTTGAGCTGGGGTTGACGGGCGAACCGGTCCCATCTCTTGGCGTCGCTTTGTCTCACGAGGTTGGTGCCACGTGGAGCCCGTCGGTTCGGGTTGTTAGGTTGGCCGGTCCGCGGCCATTTGATCAATTGAATTTGGGTTGTACATTTTCCTTTAAATAGAGAGGCTAGTTGAGTGAGACTTCACCATTTGCTCCAAACCTTTAGTCTTGGAGTTACTGAGGACACCTTGGCTTTCCACAAGCAGTTCCTTAAACTTCCTTTTGTGAACAACTTTAGGTAAAGAACTTATGTCCTTGACATATTGGCCTCGGATTCTGGTCCTGAAGCTTACGAACTTCCCGACTGGAGTGCTCCTAATAGCACTCCTAATAATGATGAGAGCGACAACAGTAACTCTGAGAGATCCTCTTGGATGTCCAGCGTCCAGGTGTTGAGGGAGAGGACCGCCGCTTGGGGGGTCGAGCGCGACTCTCAGAGTGAGGGATTCGTTTGTGAGAGTATTGGATCTACCAAGCCAAGGGCCGGTGCCTTGGTAAGCACTCCCATCACTTGGTGAAGGAGGAAGCCTTGGTGAAAGCCAACCTTAGTCTTCCCCCCAAGTACGGACGCTCTTGCCACTTTGCTATTTATGCTTTATGTTAAATATTGGAAATTTTCTAATTGTTTCTAGTTTCTTTCTTGTAGAGATGGACAACAACAAGAAGGAAAAGTTGCTAGAGGTTGTAGCATCCAAGAGAGCTGCCAAGAACATGCCTTGATGCCAACAAGAGGAGGCAACCGCCAAACAACAAGCTAATGGAACCTCGGGCGGGTCACACCAGGGGCGCCTTGACCCTCTGATCCACAAGAGAACGATCCGTTCACCACTCGTCGCATCTACCAACCGTAGTGGAGCATTTGAGAGGGGGACTCCCTGTCCGTGGTAGGCATCAGCTAACAACTCACGGTCATCATGGTTCTTCACGGCGACCACCAGTCCCAAACACAACACACTATGGAATCAGTTTGGGACATGTTCTTGGACAAGGCCGCTGAGGTTTGTGCGTACTTCTTCGAGTCCGTTTTGTCGTTGAGGTCTTCTTGGCGGAATGTGCCTGACAAGTTTTCCTTTTTGTGTGCAGATGGACTCCTGTTTGGCCGGCCTTTGCGACAAGGTGGAAGTGTTGATCCAACAACTTTTGCAAGCACAAGAAGAGATTGAGCACCAAAGGAAACAATTAGCCAAGGCGTAGTCCGATAGGGAGGCGGCTGAGGGCTGGGTCTGCGATGAGTACAAACATCGCAAAAAGGTTGAGGCCGAGGTGGCCACCAAAAGGGTGCTTGTAAAGGATCTGAAGTCCTCCTTGGTGTCAACGGAGGAACAACTGGAGGAGTCGTCCGTGAAGGCGATCGAAAAATACAAGAGCTTGAAGGAGCACAACATGGACCAAGCTTCCTTTCCCTCACAAGTTCACCTGGAGGGCTTTGATGACTACAAGCCCCAATTGTTGTAAGGATCAACACCTCCCCATAAGAGACCATTTTTTGTAAAGACACTTGAGTTAATGGAACTTGAATTTCTTGTCAAAAGATGCTCTTCTTTTCTTCTTCTCTTTCTTCTCTTTCTTCTTTCATGCGAGGGTCCGATACTTCCCTCTAAGGAGGCATTTTTGTAAAGAAACTTGCAATTTTTAATAAAATATCTTTTGTGAAAATGATCTTTACTTAGCCCTTCGTGAAGACATTTTTCCTTAGAGTCTTTTAGGTTGAGGCCGAAATCATAAGTCACTCGATGGTAGTTAACGAGGTCTCGAAACTTCTAGCCATAACGAAAAAGGAAGGTGGTTGCCTTATCCAGGAACATGCCCTTTTGTTGAGTGCGTCATTTCATAGGGGCTTTATGGCCGAGGTCACAAGCAGTTGCCTTAGTGGAGAAGTGTTGTTTACTTAGTGAGTCATTCATCGTGTTCTTCTTAAGTGAGCAGTTGTTGTCGGTTCTTTGGCGTTCACAAAGACTCTTTTCTTAGGGTCTTTGAGGCAGAGGTCGAGGTCGTAGGCCACTTATTGACAATCGTCGAGGTCTTGAAAGTTCTTGCCTTAGACAAAAAAGGACAACATGCAACTAGACATATAATTGGAAAGGTGTCATGTGCCTTGGGCTAACGTCTGGTCCGAGCATATAACTTTAATGAAGATTATATGCTATGGTCGGTCAGTCGAGGGGTCTTGGTGACTAGAGGGGACGAGAATGTTTACACAAAGAAGTATTTAATGGAAGTAAGAAGAACTTGTACTTTTCATTCAGAAATTTCCACTAAGATATTTACATTTCTATTGATAGTACATCTAGAGATTTTCAAAGTTCCAGGTACGATGTATTAGTCTTCCACCCATATATTCCAGCCAAAAGGTGTCGGGTCCTACTACTTGCTTGATTTTGTTGGGCCCTTCCCAGTTTGGGCCAAGCTTTCCAATGTCGGGCTCGATAACCATGATCTTTCTAGGGACGATGTCACCTTCTTTGAATTAATGCTCTCTATCTTGGGAGTTATAGTATCTTGCAACTCTTTTCTGGTAGGCCGCAACCATGATTTGGGATTGCTCTCGGACACCTTCCAACAGGTCAAGGATGTTCCTAAACTCTTCATTGTTCTCAGCTTCCTGGTATGCTTTGGTTTGAAGTGTCGGTTGGTCGATCTCTACTAGGATGAGAGCCTTTGTCCCATATTTCAAGTTAAAGGGAGTTTCACCCATGGCAGTTTGAAGTGTCATTTGGTACACCCATAGAATGTTGTACAACTCGTCCGCCCAAAGCCCTTTTCCTCTATCTAATCTTGTCATCAATCCATCTAGGATCGTCCTATTAGTGACCTCGGCTAGCCTGTTAGTTTGAGGGTATTCGACCGAGGTGTATTACTGCCTTATTCCAAGGCTTCCACACCCTTCTTTGAACTTGGAGTCGTCAAACTATCAGCCATTGTTAGTGACGAGAATGTATGGGATGCCAAATCGATAAATGATATTTCTTCTAGAAGAAGCTCTAAGTCGTCTTAGCCGTAATGGTTGCCAGGGCCTCGGCTTCAATCCATTTAGTGAAGTAGTCTACTGCCATGACGAGGTGTCTTCTATTCCCCATGGATGGGGGAAAGGTCTAAGGAGGTCCATTCCCTACTTTGCAAAGGCCCAAGGGTTGTTAAGGGCCGAGAGGGTCGTTGTAGACCGATGAAGAATGTTGGAGTGCCTTTGGCATTGGTTGCACTTATATACCAACTCAACAGTGTCCTTCTGGCTGGTTGGCCAAAAATATCCTTGCCTAAGTGCTTTCTGTGAGAGGGCCTTTTGCCTAGATGAATGTCGTAGATGCCCTCACGATTTTCTCTTAACACATACTCACTCTCCTCTCGACGGAGGCATCTGAGATAAGGAAGGGTGAAGGATCTTCTGTATAGCTTGCCTTCATATATGGCATACCGTATTGATTGTCGTCGTACTCTCCTTGCCTCATTCTTATCAGATAACACCTGCTCACGTTGCAAGTAGGCAAGGATAGGATCCATCCAGCAAGGTTCGACTTGGATAGGATACACTTTCTTCTCTTCAATGCTGGGATGTGTTAAGTTCTCGATGTGCACAACGCAGCTGAGGGTCAATCCCGAATAGTTTACAAGTTTTGACAAGGCGTTGGCTGGAAATGACTAGTTAACTCTTGGACTTTGCCCAAGTATTTAGCAATATTTAGCTCATCGACCTCATACTCTCCATTCACCTTGTTCACAACCAACTACAAGTCACTGAAGACCTCAATGTGCTAGACTCCAAGGTCTTTTGCAAGTTGGAGGCCAACAAGCAAGGCCTCGTACTCGGCTTTGTTGTTGAAAATAGGGAAACCAAATCATAGTGGCCATGGCTTTTGAAGTATGAGGCCAGATCCACTTCCTTTGGCGTTGAAGGATTCATCTATGAACAAGGTCTAGGTCGGTCGAGGCTCTTCCTCAGTCTCGGGGGCTTGGCTGTGGTCGTGGATGAAGGTACATCCAACCAAGAAGTTTGCCAATGCCTGCGCATTTATTGCAGGCATCGGTTGATAGTGTAGGTTAAACTCTAACAGCTTGATATCCCACTTGGTTAGCCGACCTGAGGTCTCAAGCTTTGAGAGCATTGCTTAAGGGGCTGACTGGTCAACACCGAGATGTTGTGGGCTTAAAAGTAAGGCCATAGCTTCCTAGCTAAGACCACTAGCGCAAAGGCTATTTCTCTACTTTTGGGTATCTAGTTTTGGCCTCATAGAGGACCTAGATGACGTAATGTACTAGCCTTTGAATTCCCTTGTCCTCCTGAACCAGCACCAAGCTGATTGTCTCGTCCCCAACCAAGAGGTACAAGAATAAGGTTTCTCCCGGGATGGGTCGTGTAAGCAATGGAGGCGATGCGAGATAGGACTTTAATTCTTCAAAGGCTTTCTGACAACATTCTATCCATTGGAAATCTTTCAACTTTTTGATGGCCCAGAAGAAGGGTATGCACCGGTCGACTGACTTGGACATGAATCGGATGAGACTTGTGACCCGGCTAGTGAGCCTCTGGGTTTCTTTAATTGATTGAGGGGGCTCCATGTCTCATATGGCTTGTACCTTATCAGGGTTGGCCTCTATGCCTCATTGGGTGACTAAAAAACTCAGGAATTTCCCAAGGTGACCCCGTAGGTGAATCTAGTGGTGTTTAGCTTCGTGTTGTATTTCCTCAGTACCCCAAATGTTTTGCTAAGGTCCGAGGTCTGCTAGCTAGCCCTAAGACTCTTTACAACCATGTCGTCGACGTAAGATTCGACACTCCTCCCCATTTGCACTTTGAAAATCTTGTTCACCAGTCTTTGGTAAGTGGCCCTGGCATTCTTTAGTCCAAAAGGCATCACCTTTTAGTAGTAGGTGTCGTGCTCGGTGATGAACGATTTCTTCTCTTCATCATTAGGATGCATTTTTATCTGATTGTAGCCGGAGAAGGAATCCACAAAGCTTAGTAGCTCATACCCCGTGGTGGCAACAATGGGATGATCAATCATTGGCAAAGGAAAGTTGTCTTTGGGATAGGCCTTGTTGAGATATGTGAAGTCAATGTATATGCACCACTTTCCATTAGCTTTCTTAACCATGACCATGTTAAATAGCCATTCAGGGTAGTACACCTGTCCTATGAAGCCATCGTCAAGTAGTTTGTCCACCTCCTCTTTGATGGCTTTCCAGCGCTCCAGTGCAAAGTTCCTCTTCTTTTGCTGAATTGACCTACAACTCAGGTTCACGCTCAGCCTGTAAGTAATGATTGAGGGGTTAATTCTTGGCATATCAGCTGTAGATCAAACAAACACGTCGGTATTGGTTTTGAGGAAGCTTTCCAGTTCGGAAAGTGTATCCTAAGGGATGCGAGACTTGACTTGTGTCGTCTTCTCGGGCTTGGCCTCGTCCAGGGGAACCGAGATGAGATCCTCGGCCGACTGGCCTTGATTGAATGGTTCCTTATTCTTGCCTTTTAGCGTCACAACGTAGCACTGTCTAGGACTAGCAACTTGTTGGTTTTCCCTAACTACCCTTACACCATGCTCCGCAGGGAACTTCATGGTAAGGTGGTAAGACGAGATAACAGCCTTGAGTGCGTGAAGGGTCAGCCTCCCTATGATGGCGTTGTAACGTGAGCCTATCTTCACGACGAAGAACTTAGCCATTCGAGTGACGTTTCAAAGTTCGGTCCCTATAATGACCAGTAGGGTTATCTTTCCCTCCAGTCTGACATCTAACCAAAAAACCCAATGAGTGGCACCTCAATGGGTTGCAGTCAGTTTGGTGTCAGCAGAATCTTCTCAAATGTCTCGTAGAACAGGATATCGGTCGTGGAGTCATTGTTTGTGAGGATCCTTTTCACCATGTAGTTGGAAATGACCATTAACACCACCAACGCGTCATCGTGGGGCATAGATACCCCTTATAGGTTGTCATTCGAGAAGGAGATGAGGTCCTCCAGCCTCGGCCTTTTCAATGCTTGGATCTGAATGTTATATTTCCTAGCGTATGCCTTTTAAGACGAGGTGGATCGGAAAGTGTATCCTAAGGGATGCGAGACTTGACTTGTGTCGTCTTCTCGGGCTTGGCCTCGTCCAAGGGAACCGAGATGAGATCCTCGGCCCACTGGCCTTGATTGAATGGTTCCTTATTCTTGCCTTTTAGCGCCACAACGTAGCACTGTCTAGGACTAGCAGCTTGTTGGTTTTCCCTAACTACCCCTACACCATGCTCTGCAGAGAACTTCATGGTAAGGTGGTAAGACGAGATAACCGCCTTGAATGTGTGAAGGGTCAGCCTCCCTATGATGGCGTTGTAAGGTGAGCCTATCTTCACGACGAAGAACTTAGCCATTCGAGTGGTGTTTCAAGGTTCGGTCCCTATAATGACCAGTAGGGTTTTCTTTCCCTCTGGTCTGACATCTAACCAAAAAACCCAATGAGTGGCACCTCAATGGGTTGCTGTCAGTTTGGTGTCAACAGAATCTTCTCAAATGTCTCGTAGAACAGGATATCGGTCGTGGAGTCATTGTTTGTGAGGATCCTTTTCACCATGTAGTTGGAAATGATCATTAACACCACCAACTCGTCATCGTGGAGCATAGATACCCCTCCTAGGTTGTCATTCGAGAAGGAGATGAGGTCCTCCAGCCTCGGCCTTTTCAATGCTTGGATCTGAATGTTATATTTCCTGGCATATGCCTTTTAAGACGAGGTGGATGCTCCCCCAAGGTCATGCCCCCTATGACTTCAATGACTCTGGCCAGGGGGCGATGAGTGTGAGACCAACTTGTGACTGTTGCGAGGATGACGATGGGGTGTTGCCTTCAACATAATATTTTAAGTGCCCACGGCGAATGAGGGACTTGATCTCTTTCTTGAGCTCGTAGCAGTTCTCGGTGTCATGATTGGTGTTGTGGTGGTACTTGTTGTACTTTTTGGAGTTCCCCCTTCTCGGGTTCCTCTTCAATTTGGCTGGCCACTTCATGAATTCCCCCTTCCCTACTTGCATTAGTATGTGCATTTGGGAGAGTTTAGTGGCATGTACTTGTCAAAGGAAGGGGTTGGCGGCCTCTTCTCACCACCCTTTTTGGCGGGGCCATCGCGCGGCCATCCCTTCCCTTCCTCTTCTTGTCACTGGGCCCTACTTCTGGATCTTGGAGGCGTTTGTTAGATTTGACCTGCTCGGTAGCAATGTACTTTTTGACCTTTTTCAAGAACTCAACTTTAGACTTGGACAGAGTCTTGGAAATCGACCAGCTGAGGGGTCCATGCCGGAGGCCACTAATGGCCGTGTGCATGGAGACCGAGGGGTCGAGGTCCTTGAACTGGTCCCAAGAGCCAATGGAGTGTGGAGGCATTGACATGCTACTCCCTTGAATGTGGCCTGGAAGGCTCAACACATGAGGGCGTTGGAGTATCCACACAGGAGCATGAGGTCCTAGAAGCTTTCTAGGTGGTCTTCAAGATCTGTACTCCCATCATAGGTCTCCAGCGTCGGGCCTTGAAATTTGGCAAGAGGGGCTCAGAGATGATGGAATGCACGAATGCCTCTATCCGGCTGAATGAGGCATGGCAACTAGTGGAGGCGTAACCTTGGCCCTCCTTTACCTATCGAAGTTGATCTCGAATGGTACCAATTTGCATATGAATATCTCCGAGGCATTGGTCGATGTGTGGCACCGTTGTTTCAGCTTGGACTTGGTTCTCTCTCATGTGGGGCGAGCCAACCCTATTCCCATAGTGCTTGGATGCCAGCACGTCCTGAGCCTTGCAGGTGCGGTGATCACTGAGGAGGTCACAAAGGTCAGAATCCGATGGGGGAGAGACGTGGTGCCGGCCTCCTCCCCCTTGAGGGAAACTATAGTGGTCAGAGTGCCCGTCGTCATCCTGACTGGTCACCACACGACGTTGTTGGCAGTCGTGGTTCTTGTGCTCAGTGTGGGACCCCATGGGGCCACCCCCTTGGGTACTGCTGTCGGATTTTGAGGGGTTAGTCCCCTTCGGGCTGCCCAAGTGCTGGCATCGTGGCATATTGGCAGATCACCCGCCATGTTGTCCATGGCTTCTGGCGGGCTTATCGGACGCCCTATATCATCCAACCGCTAGGCTAGGTTGTCTACATTATCTAGGACTAGCTCGAACTAGTCGGTCGTGACTAGGTTTTGAATGTTAGGAATGGTGTCTTGCTTGTCAGCCATTTCAGAAACACTAGTTGATTAGGTTAAATTTGCTTTCTTAGGGAAAGTTTTGAAGATGTTTCCCACAGACGGCGCCAATTGTTACTGCCAAACATGGAGCTGAGGGCAACAATTATATTTCTGGTGTCTGAGGTCGACGGGTCCAACCTGTTGAGACAAATAAGATGTCAGAGGCCCCAGAAGTTATCCCAGGGGCAAAGGCTCTGATGGTCAAGTTAGCCGAGGGCTATAAGGGGTCGGACCAAGCAAGTGAGGAAACTTAGAGCTCAAGTCTGTGTGTGTCTACCTCAATGTGGGAGCCCCTTTTATAGCTAGAATTGCCTTAGAAGAGGAGCCGTTGGGAGTGGTTGATAGTAGTTGATGATGGACGGCCAGGATGCATCAAACTGACGCCATGTGTCACGATATAAATGTAAATATGTACTTTGCATAAATGTAAATGCAAATATGTACTTTGCATGTAAATGTAAACTGTGTCACGATATAAATGTAAACTGACGCCATGATGGACGGCCAGGAGCAGTTGGGAGTGGTTGAAGCATGTATGTGTAACATGTCTAAAGCTGCATTTGGCTGTGATATAAATGTAAATATGTACTTTGCATAAATACCCTCATTTTGGTTCAAGAATGTAAAGTGGGTTCATAGTGTAATCGATTTCTGTATTCTTCTTGTTTGTTTGAAATCAGTGCAAAACATGGGAGCAAACATTAAATGCTCCAATTACTGATGCTCTATTGCCTTGAACTTTGGTTAAACGCACCAATCTATAAGCCTTTTACATTGATTATCAGAAGAGCACAAATCTATAACCAAATTAAAAATGGGTACAATAATGCCCTCTTTTTAGGATACAAAGATGTTAGAAAAAGCATTTTTTGACCTCTTAACCATTGCACTTTTGTATGTGAAATAAATGCTCACAAATCTGAACCAGGGTACATAAATACCCCGATTTGGCATTTGTATCCCAAATAAATATAGCCTAAATGTCTAATGCTAAGTTTGGGAATGCAATCTAAAAAATAAGTGTTATTCTAATAAGTGATTATGAGCATTTGATGAAAAAGAATACTTATTTTAAACAGGGGTATTATAGGTATTTTTACAATGACATGGCCGGTCAAGATAAGCCATAAATGAAATAAGCACTTATTGATAAATTACTTAAAAATAAATCCATAATTTGAGCTTCTCAAATAAGTATTTATTCTATTTTAGGCTTATTTATCAAATGCAAATAACTGCTTATTAGTGCGGTTCCCGTCCAAAATAAGTATAAGTATGTATTCAAACAAGCACTTATTTTTAACCAATCCCAAACTTAATCCAACACGAATTAGGATCTGCTCCTCACATGGACCTCACAGCTACATCCCACTGTGTACTGAGAACGTCTCCCCTGTGAGGAGCGCTCAGTGAGGAACTAGCAAATCCCGACTCGCCCAACACTAATATATGATAAAATATTTCTTTAAAAGCTACAAATGCATTATTAACATTACCTGACTAGTAGTACGTAATACCATCTTAGCTATTATTCTCATCAAGAAATATAGATAGCCTACCTTTCAAAGAGAAATGTTTAGATAGTCTGGTAGTGGTAGTAGTTAGGTGGGATAGGGCTTGAATATAGACCGGAAGGTCGTGAATTCGATACCCGTGGCCGGCAACCACGACAGGCCATCGATGAAGAAATCGACCGAAAAGAAATAGACGGTTCTAACATCGTTGTTTGGTATCAAGTGAAAACCCGGCCACCTGATTCGTCTTTCCGGCAACCATCCAGGTCCTCCATTTTCGTATTCGCCATAATACAAGGTGCTGAGTGCAAAGTTACCATTCCATTCCAGCCATCCTTCCGGCTGAACCATATCACTCAGGTAAGTCCCCATGAATACAGTCCTTGAGTACTTCTTCCAAGGCCTCCCCAAGTAGGCCGGGTACGTGGCTTCCACTCTGCAATCTTGTAGCGAGAATCCCGTGCTCTGGGTCCAGTTCGTCCTACCGTGGGCAGTGATGGTCACCTGTTGTTGCGGTAAAGGCCGGTTCGTTTCTATAAAACAGTTCTGGAACACCGCCTGGCCGTTTCCAAATATATAGTCGACGGTGCCGAAGATGCGGCAACGGCGGAAGAACTGCCGGAGTGAGTGAGAATACAGGGTGTCTTGGTACCCTTCGATGCTGCAGTTATAGAACGCCGATTTGTCCGAGTCCACCCGGAGTGCTACGGCTTGATGGTTTTCGGCTCCTGCCGTGTTACGAAATGTGATGAACATGGCTATGAAGCCTTGTCCCGTTACCGCTGCCATAAATTCAAGAATGTGAACGTGGTGTCAATCAAGATTTTAAGTTAAGGGAAATTGTTTAAAATTCATCATGATTTTTTAGAATTTCTCTTAAACTCATCACAATTTTTCAAAATGTCTAAAATTCATCATGTCAGTAAGTTTTTATTTTTCAAAACTCACCTACCGTTGGTACACCGTTAATGCTTCTTAATAGAAGTGTCCATGTCAGCATAAATAACAATTTTCATGACCAAATCACCATTGAATGACGAGTTAGAGGAAAATGGTCTTTTTCAGTTTTCAATTTTCTTGTTTTTTAATTTCTAGTGTTTTGTTATAATTTCCAATGTGTTTTATAGTTTCTGTTTTTTTTTTATATTTTTCTATTTTCTACAATCTATAAATGTCCTGTATTTTTTGTTATTAATTTGCAATTTCTATGTTTTTCTATAAAATTTCTGTGTTTTTCTATAATTTTTGGTGTTTTTTCTACAATTTTTATTTTCTGATTTTGTTTTTCAATTTCTATAGTTTCTATAATTTGAAAATAATTTTTCATTTTGTGTACAATTTCTATATTTTTTGTAATTTATGTGCTTTTATGTATTTTATATTTGAAAATATTTTTAAAACTTTTTTCTTTTTTTCATGTCTAAATATTAAAATATATGTATATATTTTATATTTTTCTACGAAAGTTAACATGTGGTAATATATTAACACCCGTTAGTCTCTTTAACGTCAAGCTAGTGACATAGTGAGTTTTAGACATTTTGAAATATTGTGGTGAATTTAAGAGAAATACTGAAAACTCATGGTGAATTTTAGACAATTTCCCTAAGTTTAAGTATGAATGAAATTTAACCAGGTCAAGCACCATCTTTAATTTATTAAGGGTGGAAGTATGGATCGGCTTAGTTCGGTGATGGCAGAATTTTGAATCTATCTTATAGGGTCATTCCCAAGTTTTTGCTGTAACCTATTCTTTGAAAGTCGATTTCAGCGTCAGATTTGGTTTTGACAGTTCCGGAGGTAGTTAGAGGATCTACTCCTCAAATTTGTTCTTTCTTTATTCTTTCCTTCTCCCTTGAAAAAATGTGGGACAAGTTATTTAAAAACTTGATTTTAAATAATTATAATATATAGTTAAACTTTATATATTAATGCGTATGTTTCAAAACCTTTTTTATTAATTTTAATTTTGTAAATATTATTTTTTACATAACTTATTATAGATATTTAAATATTAAAATAAAAAAAAAATGACCAAACTATTTATGACTCAATGATAAAGTGAGACCAAAAGGGCTTCCTAACTATGAGTGCTTGGCTTCAAGTCTTTACTTCCTCAAATTATTTTGGGATTTATTTTAATGCAATTTAAGTTTTAAGACCAGTTTCAATAGGGATGCAAACGGATTGGATTCCAATAAGGGTATATTCGATTCCGATCTGACATTGTTTATGGTGGATCTGATAGGCTTCAACCTGAATTTGAATCCTATTGGTAAGTTGAATCTTTGGATCTGATCCGATTCGACTTGTTTACTTTAAAAATTAATAAATTATTAAAAGAAAAATAAAACATACCAATTTAAATAAAGAAAAAAACAAAAAACTAAGTATTTTTTTTATTATTTCATCATATATATACATGTTTTTATAAAAATAAATAATATAACAAATTTATAAAAATACAATATAAATAATATATTTATAAATCAATAAATAACATACATATATATGTATATATTTATATTTATATAAATAAATATATAACATATATCAGATCAAATGGAGATCATCATCGGATCCATTTGCACCCCTAAATTTCACAATGCGAATAAAAACTGGTTCTTCCGGTCGGTTCAGGTAAGATAAACATTTAAACCCTGAAATCGGTCTCAATAATTTAGAACCAGATCCCACCCTTTTTATAAATTAGCTAGGACGGGTTCAAGATGGATTTCGATTTGAGGTCAGTTGCATATGGTTCCGGGTATAACCTAACCATTTGCACATTATTACGGAGGTTGGACCTTAATTCGGCAGAAACTCACCAAAGGTGGCTGATCGAAACGTGGTCCATCCTTGTACGACACTCCGGTTTCCACTAATCACTGTGGTATCCATCTGTTGCCCCATAAGCAAGATATTCTGCTTTTTCTTGTTCAGGTCTACAATCTCTTCATACACACCTTCCTTGACGTATATAGTGTATCTCGTGGGACTGTAATCAGGAGCCTGGTTCACTGCTTCCATGATCGACGTGAAATTTCCGCTCCCGTCCTGTGCTACAATGACGTCCACATGCTCACCGTTGGGACCTGCCATTAGAAGATCACGATCCTGACCTGTCATCCACGGTGGGAAATCATCGGAGCTCCCTTCGTCTTCTGGATCATAGACGGGAGTTTCACTCATGGGGAAACCATGAAGCATCTTATGATACAAAACCAGTACGTTGCTGATGAGTTGCGTCACTTGGTATATGCTCCCTTTGATGCAGTCCGAAATGCGACCATCGGTGCCGTCGAAGCCTTCCAAGCAGGTATCTTGGTTGCCCAGAGCTGCACTCAGCCACGCGTGGAGGCTGGAGTCATAACAGACATCTATCATTTTCTCCGTCTTCCCTAAAGAGCATGACAATTCGTACACCGACATGTCGAGGAGTTCCATACAGTCTTGAATGGCTATCTTTTCAAGAGGAGTCGTCGGTGAGTTAGCGAACTTGTTAACCACATTCATGGCTTGATTCGCTTCGACAATCGACGCCTTGATGGCAGCACTGAGAACTGCAGCTGGGCTCTTCAATCCCAGTAGTTCGTATTCGCGTCGGAAGTTGGAAAAGCAGGATTCAGGGTCGGCCATATCCACGCAAACTTGCTGTATCATGGCTTGCATGGTGTGATTGCCTTCGTGCGAAAGGAAGGTAGATGAATTCGAAAGTGCTTCAAGGGAGGGAAGGACGAAAGGGAGGAGAAGGAGATGAGCTAATGCCATGGTACTGACGACTGTGAAAGGAAAGGATGTACGTGGTAGGTTTTTAAGCTGGAAATTCTGTTGGGTTGAGCCATGCGTTGTGCTTTTCTGGCGCTGGGCGCCGGTCACGGCTCCGTGTGGTCTGGTTTGTTAATGCACGCTCTTTGTGTCTTTGGTCGTTTTAGTACAAATCGTTTTAAAGTGGATCACCTGCGAAATATAAGGTTTTGCATATTTATATTTACAAATATGTATAATGCAAATACGGTTTTGTACTCTACATATTCGTATTTATATTTATATTAATGATCAGTTTGGAAGGAACACAAATACAAATATATATAATGCAAATAATACAAAATATAAGGTTTTGCACTCTACACATTTGCATTTATACTCCTTCCAAACTGAGCCTAAAGATCTAGAGCATTTAGAAGTATTTCCCAGATTTTTTGTCATCTTGGACTTTCATGAACTTTTTAGGGCATAGGATTGTTTGGTTTCTTGTCTTTCATCACCAAACAGAAAGACCAAATTTTAATCTTCTAAACTTTGAAAAGCCCAAAAAAAAACCACACAAAAAGATTTACCAAATGCCTCGTAAATTGAGTTACATCTTCTTTCCGTGTTGTCCTGCCTACACTTTTGAAAGCAGTGAAGCAATGCTAAGCATATAGCTTCTTTACTTGCACACCTTGCAAATACCTCGTTGACCACTGATTTGGAACATTGTATCATTTGAAGGTGGGGTAATCTCTCTAGTTGGCACACTATATTCCAAATGTGTGGCATGAGATGAAATTGTTAAACTTATAAGAAAAGCATTTGGTATGCTTAGAAATTTTGAAGTATGTGGAGGACTATTTGATTGGATTGAACCAGATAATATTAAATGGACCATATGGGTAAATTGTATCATGAGAAAGAAAAATAAATCTACTACTTATTTAGGAAACCAAGGTCCAAGTCGGGCAGGATTGGGTTAGGTTGAGGTCTACCTTCAGCCCAAGTAAAGATGCAACTTGAGTTGAGTTGGGTTGAAAATTTGTTAAATTTTTTAATAGGCCCAAACCCTAATCCCTTCTTGATGTAGTTGAAATTCTTTTTTTCTCACCAAAAAGTAATTGGAATTCTTAAAATCAGACAACCTGACTTGCAGCCCTAAGCCCAAGATAATGTATTTAAACCTCAAGCCTAATCCAAAACTAACCTGTTTGGGATTGAAAATCACCTACCAAATTTACAAACACATGCATCAATACACGCGAGCATGTGAAGCTCATGAGCCTAGTCGAGCCTAATACATATGTACATCTATCTATCTATCTATCTATCTAATATATAACTTGCTTGAATTATTAGGGAGGTGCTAGTAGGGGTGGAAACAAATCGAGCTTTTCACAAGCTAATCGAGCCTAATACATCTATCTATCTATTTATCTACCTATATTTCATATAACAAATTAATCACTACATTCATGTTGTAGGGGTGTCCTGCAACATGAATGTTTTTGCCTTTATTTACTTTTAAAATTGAGACATAGGCAAAAAGTATGAATGCTCTTTAACCATTTTTTGTTTTGACAAGCAAAGAGAGTTTTGGTTTGTTTCAAAAAACAATTCATGTTTTTGAAACCAACAATGGTCTTTAAAAAAATAAATATTGGAGTACTGATCTTACATAATTTATAGAACATGAGATCAAATAACCAAGGAAGAGATTGAAGAGGATATTACATATAGATTAGAACAAGATGGGCAAAATGGAGGGGCGCATCTGAAGCTTTATGTAATGATACACAAATACTATTTAGGTTAAAAGAAAAATTATACAAAAAATTTTGTAAGGCTAACTATATTGTATAGAGTAGAGTGTTGGATAGTTAGGGGAAAAAAAAAACACACTTAGAAAATGAGTATAGCAAAAATGCATATGCTGAGATGGATGAATAGAGAAGCTAGAAAGAATAGGATAAAAAATGAAGTCATTCAAAGAACTTAATTAGGAATAGCTCCAATAGATGATAAAATAAAAGAAAGTAGACTAAAATGGTTTGGTCATACACATAGAATACCGTCAACGACACCCACAAGAAGTGATTTGTTACAAGTTGAAGGGGCTAGAATGACTAGGGGTAGACCAAACAGGATCCGAGTTGTTGGCCCCATATAGTAGGGATAAGTCTTAAATGATGGCAATGATAATGATGATGATGATATCAAATCAAGAGATGAAAATATGTTTTTCTAACCAGAAATTCAAAAACAGGTTATTGGTTTTGGTCTTAGCAAAAACAACACATATAAAACCAAGAACATTTTTCTATGTCTTCTTGATTTGTTTTGAGAACTAACTTGTTTTCAAACCAAATTTTTGGTTGGGAAAAAGAAGGGTGTATTTATTTTTCCTTTTAGGGATCATAGGAAATGACTCCTCTCTTTTCAATCCTTTTTTCGAGTTTGATGGGATGGGTTGGGATAGTATCCTAAAGGGAAAATGGGTGGAATTTTTTCATGTTCTATTGTTTGGTTGCAAAAGGGAAAATAGTGGGAAAATCAACCCTAGTAACAATTATTAATTAATTAATTAATTAATTAACTAATTAGTAATATTTATATTTTACTATTATTAATTATTAATATTTTAATGTAAGAATTCTATAATTAATTAATATTGATAATTGTGTAATTAATTATTAATTAAAATTTAATATTTTAAATTTTATTTTATTAATATTTACTATGAATTAATTAATAAATTTATTTTATCATTAATTATTTTTTAATTATTTAAAAGGGGAATGCCTCAGGTGCCCAATACATGTTTTGAAAGACTAAACAAATAGTTTGGAAGACTAAGTAGGTCTTTGACATTCAATGTTGTTTCTCCGAAAAAACGGTGCCACATCAGCACCACATTTTGTATGTGTTTCTTTGAAAAATACCTAATATTTGATTAGTCATTTTTCTGAAAAACATTTTCTTAGACCATGTCTAAGAAATTGGGAAAGGTGTGGTCTAAGAAAGCACCCACTTTTTTTTTTATATTTTCTCGTTTTTTTCTATTATTGTTAACAATATATAGTATATTGACATGGCATTAAAAAACACTTATGTGATAGCAATAACAATGATACCAAATAGAAAACCCTAAAAAAATATTTTCCAAACACTGCCTTCAAGTGCCCTGCAGTAAATTGCTTTCTATCGTTAAGAAGAGTGATACCATCTTCTCTTAACTAGGGATATGTCAGTTCATAAAAAAAAAAAACGAGACGTAACAATTTCGGTCCCTGTGTTTATTGTCACATCATTGTTTCCCATTGTTGTAGTGGGATAGTGTGAACTTGAAAAGTTCACTTGTTCGGATCTGGAACACAAGATAGTCCCTAATTGCAGTCTGGGGCACTTATCACGTGGCAGGTACTCCGAAGATAGTGACCCATTTTTGGATGGAGCCCTGCATCCAAACAAGTATGACGTGGTGTCATTCAACGCTCATTGATCACTCTTATACATAGCTATTCATCATACATTCAAATATAAAACTTTGACCACCATGGAAATACAATTCAGCCCTATTTTAATTTTTTAATTCAAAACTTACACCAAGTGAATCACGACCACCTTAGAATTTTATTAATTACTAGCGGGAAACTATGCAATGTGATGTACAGAATTTATTAAACGAAATTATTTAAATAATAGAAACATACAAGAGTATATAATTTTTTATATTTTTAATTGTTTAAATAATTAATAATTATTTATATTTTATATATTATTTTTAATTATTTTTTAAATATAAAAATAACAATAATTAATATATATATATATATATATATTAATATTTTATATTTTTAATACAAGAAGATAGAAAATTCCTATATTTCTTAGTCTAAAATATTTTATATCATAAATTTAACTTTTACATTTATTTTTAATAATGACATTATATTTTTTAAAATTTAAATTTAAGTTTTAGGTTCAAATCTTTTTAACTTACCAATCAAACCAAAAATTGACCCAAATTGATACAATCTGAGTTGGCCAGTTTTCACTAATGGTTAGTTGGTTTCGGGTGACCAACTCTTCAACCTGACTAGGTTGATTTGGTTGGCCAAACATCCTACAACCAAGACAAAACAACTCATGAGTGCTGCTAATTTCAACTAAATTAATAATCTAATCTCTAATAAATAGCAATTGTTTAATCTCCAATAACTATTAAAAATTTATAGCAAAAATACACAATTATTGAAAATATATTGATAACAAAAATACAATAAATAACTACTAAAAAATATATTAAATTAGTCAATAAATAGTAGGGGTGCAACTTGGCACAGGCCTAACCTGAAATTTTACACGGATTGGGATTGGATTTTCAATCTTTGGGTTGGGCTCAAGCCCAAGAAGTTGTGGCTTTTTTTTATTTGGGTCGGGTCCACGCCTGGGCCTATAACCCTTAGGTAACTCGAACCTAGCCCAAGCTATATATATATCTGTGTGTGTGTGTGTGTGTGTGTAAATTATACATTTGTATACATGTCTACTTATATACATACTTATTTTACATACATATTTACATATATACAAAAATATATGTATACATATTTGGATAAATACATATATGTATAATTTTAGAGTGGCTTCATTGACCAACCCAAGCTCGAGCCCAACCCGAGTGCATCAATTTACAATGCAGGCTAGGCTTAGGTTGGGAAGATCGGGCTTGACCTTGGGCTCGGTTCGGGCTCAAGTCTGAAGCCCAAATTTTAGGGTCGAGCCCGGGTTGACCATCAACCCGACCCAACTTGCTTGACTTGCACCCCTAATAAATAGTTTAATCTCTAATAAATATTAAACAATAAATTATAAGAAAAATACAATAAGTACAATAAATTAAATTTAAAAAAGTTAAATTTTAGTATATTGAAAATATCTTTATCACAGAAACAATAAATATTAATTTAGTATAGATAAATATATAATAAATGTAGATTAAGATTTTAAAATTATTATTAATAAATATTAATTTTTTAAATATACTTTCTAGAATTATTAATTGATATAAGTGAAATTAGTTATTTACAATATTAGTTTTTACACTAGTGTTGTATTTTAGTGTATATATATACTTGAGAATGACCCCGTACTAAGTATGGGGCTAGTATTTTTTGATAACTTTTATTTTGTTTAAACAAAAAATGTCTAAATTTTTATTATTATTTGTATTGTAATATTTAGTTAATTATTATTATTATTATTATTATTATTATTATTATTATTATTATTAAGTTTTTAATTAATGATTTTGTTATCATAATAATTATTATAATTAAATTTTTTACTGTAAAAATTTAAAGATTAAACAAAATATAATATTTACTTAATTATTTAATTAAAGATTAATATTATTTTTAATTAGTAATGATGATGATTATTTTCTTAAATTTTTATTAATACTCAGTATTTAATTACTAAGTATTGTTGCTATTATAGATTTTCTAATTACACTAATTTTTTTTGTAATTTATATAACTTTAATGCACAATCAGTTTTTGAAGTTTACTATTTAGTTATCAAAAATTAAAAAACTATTACGGGTCTTACATCTTTGTAGTTGACAATCTATTCTGATCTATTTTATTTGAAACTCACTATTAATTTATGTTTTTTAATTCGATTTAAGATATTAAATGAGATCTTATTGGTAAACAATAACCCACTTTATTAGGTATGTACTATTTATCTAAGAAATCTATTTTGAGTTATTTATTTTTAAAAGTTAAATTAGGTTGCTTCCTAAAAGTTAAGTCAAGTTTGTAATTAATAAAATATTTTCTTTTTAAAAAAATCATTTAAAAATAAACATAGATTTACGGTAATTCAAACATGACCTAAGTTATATATTCAGGGTTTTATTTGGTCATTATTTTCTTTCAATAAGAATCATAATGATTTTAGATTTGGTTAAATGTTTTTATGTCGGCTACCAGCCTAATTACCCAAACTTAACACCAATAATTTGAGACAAATTGTCAACCAATGTTTAAAATATGAGTAGGTGATAGGCCTGATATGGGATAGGGTGTATGTGTGGAATGCAATGAAAACAATACATCCTATACCAGTCATGGTCATGACTGCCAATAACAATTGCTATAGGCTGCTCCAACCAATGTTTTTAAAACCGGATTAGACTGGATGGTCAAACTGAAAAAATTGGGAATTGGTCACCCATTTTATATATTGTTTGGCCAAAACCGTTGATTTAGTTAGTGAACTGTTGAATCAGGCAGTCGAATCGTTGAACTGTTCAACCCATGAATGATATTTGGCCATTTTTAGATTTTTTAAAATATTTAATATTTTTGTCAGAACGGACCATCCGTGACCAGATGGTTGGACCATTCAACACAGGAACAGGACCTCAGAACGGTTACTTGTCCATTCCAGTTTTAAAAGCCTTGGTTCCAACAACCTATAGAAAATTATATGTTTTAGATGATTTTCATTGCAGTAAAGAAAATTATAAATGAATCTATTGATAGTCTTTTAAACTCATTTATCTAACAATAATTTATATGCCCAAATGATTTTTTTCTTAATTTAAAAATTAAAAAATAAAATAATTTATTTTACATATTCTAAGTGATTTTTATAATAAGGAAGAATTATAAGATAGGTCTATCAATGATTTATCAAACACATTGATCCAATAATTTTGGAAATTTACATTTCTTATTTGTAGGATTTATAAAAATTATCCTAACTTATGAGGCCCAGGCTAGTCATGGAGCTTATCTTATGTTCCCAAATCCATGTATTTTTGCCTTGGGTTTATAAGTGAGACTGATTCTGTCATCGAATTAGGCTCTAGTTTAAGCTTTGACCAAGGTTTTTAAAATCAGATTGGACAGAGAATCGTTCTGGGACCGGTTCTCGGGTCAAATGATCCGACTGTGCGGTTTAAATGGATAATCAATTCTAATAAAAAATTAAAAAATGAATTAAAATTTAAAAAATAAAAAGGTAAAAAATGACTGTTCAGGTCAATGATTTAACAATTCGACTGCCCGAATCAACAACTCACTGATCAAATCTACAATTTTGGGGTAAAATGGAATTGATCAGGTGACCGACTTTCGATTTTTCCTGTCCGACCTTCCGGTTCTATCCGGTTTTAAAAACACTGGTTTTGACTGTTTTCCAGTTTTCCTCTCACAATAGTGGGCCCAGCGGGGCTTTAGGCTTTAGCATTCACCGAAAAACTGGGCTTTGTGTTATTGGAAACGTGGAAAGAATTCCGAGAATAATCAAATGTCCTGTTGCCATTAACGAAGCTTCCACTTTTTGCACAGTGACGCACCGACAAGCATAATTCCATTGCTTTTACCGGACCTCCTTTTTGTTGACTACTCTAAAGGGTTCCAGTCCATAGAGAGAGTTATTACTCAGTAACCCAAACTGGGTTCAATCTAATCTAATGAATATCGTTTTGGAATAGTTGAATTCAATGTCTCAACCATCTAATTTATTTAAATTAGTTTTAATTTAGATTGGGTTTGATTCAAACCTGGCATATTGGTACCTGTATTTTTCTCTTTTATCAATAGGCTATATTGTTTCATTAATCTAACTCAATTTAATATATATTCATTATACATGGACCAAATCCAAATCCAGTCCATATTGACACTCATAAATGAACTAATTTCGTGGTGGTTGCCTTGACGTGAGGCCAAGGGCAACTATATATCTATGGTAGATGAAGATATTTATGCACTCCATTTTTGCTCGGTTGCTCTCTCTCTATATATATACTTACATATTTTGCCTCCTCTCCTCCCTTTCTCCTTCCGGTCCGGCCACCATGTTTATCATGAGAAGAAGAACTAAAATCCAGCTTCTTGTTTTAACCATCTCAATTACTCTTTTCCTAGTCCAAGCCTCCTCCTCCATCCCAGTATTGCACCACCTTCAGATCGCACACTCAGCTTGTGAAGGTACCTTATACCCAGAACTCTGCGTTTCAACTCTGTCTTCCTTCCCAGACCTAACTTCCAAAACCATCTCACAAATGATCTCTTCTACTGTCAACTACACTGTAAAAGAAGTCGAGATTTCTGCCTCTAACTGCACTGACATCCGAAAGAACCTCAAAGCGCAAGACCCACTTGAACAGCGGGCTCTGGATGACTGTTTAGAACTTTTCGACGAAACCATCTCAGAGCTTCAAACCGCTCTCTCTGATCTATCACCAAAAAGCTCACCTTCAAAGCACTACAATGACTTGCAAACGTTGTTAAGCGCTGCTATGACGAATCAGTACACCTGTCTCGATGGATTGTCCTTGGGCAATGAGCAGGTAATCAGAGAGGAGATAAAGCAAAACTTAAACAACATAAGCCATTTGGTCAGTAATTCTCTAGCGATGCTTACAAAGATGCCAAAGGCGGCCGATACCCTGAAGGACGAGGTGTTCCCCGAGTATGGTAAAATGGCCGGCAGGTTCCCGGGATGGGTGTCGCCCAAAGATCGAAAGCTGTTGCAGGCGTCGACCAACACGATGAAGTTTGATCTGGTGGTGGCTAAAGACGGGAGTGGCAACTTCAGGACGATAGGCGAGGCGGTAGCTGCGGCACCTAATTCGAGTGCAACCAGATTTGTGATCTATATAAAGGCAGGAACATATTTCGAAAATGTGGACGTGGGGAAGAAGAAGACCATGCTGATGTTCGTCGGAGATGGGATCGGAAAGACAGTGGTCAAAGCTAGTCGCAATGTCGTCGATGGCTGGACTACTTTCCGTTCTGCTACTGTCGGTAAGTGCTACTTTGTTTTTATACTATCGATTGATTAAATTAATTGATTTTCATGAATTGATTAATCGCGAGGTGATTAGTCATCCCAGCACGGGTTGACAGAATCAACATCATTCTCAGAGCTCAGAGGTTGGGTTTTTTATCGTTCTTTTTCTTCCGAGTTTATTAACCAAAAAAAGAAAAAAAAATAAGCTTCTTCTGAGTTCTACCGACTCTATAATCTTGATTTCTTTTAGATTTTTAGGGGTAAGTTTTGAGCGTCGATCGGGATCTGATGGTTATCTGTCAGCAGGATACATCGATGCCGACAATCTGTCCAATTAATAATGCACCTTGTAGGTTCTAACGTACACCACACCGCCGACCGTATGCATTTAACGTGAAACGTCAGCTGTGACTACGACATTAGAACTATCCTGATGCAGTCCAACCAAAAGTTACTTCCCTTTGACTTTGTATTTGAAACAAATGGTTGAGATCTCCTCCCAACGAAAAGCCGTTTCAATACGTTCCAACATATGATCTATGTTCGAAGCCTAGAAGACCGTTGGGACTGTTTTTATTGAATAGAGATCCCAAATCTGGAACAAAAGTCCAACGTTTAAAGAGGTTTTTCTTTTCAAAGATATAATAAGCCAAGAACTACTCTACTTTGGGGTAGAGTGGATAGTGATTATTTAAGTATTTGAATTTACATTTTCGAGTCAGTTGACAAGACTCGACCAAGGTTTTGAAAACCGGATTAAATGGAACGGTCGGATCAGTTGAATCAGAAATCATTCAAGTAATCGGTTTCATTTCACTCTAAAACTGTTCATGCACCAAAAATCATTGATTTGGTCAATAACCCGCTGATCCACTAAAACTGTTTATCTTAATTATATTAATTATTTTTTTAAATCAAAATAAATTATCTGTTCGAATTGAATGGCCGAATCACTTATTCAAAAACTAATGACGAAAACAATCCTAATTTATCAATTTTTAGAACATTAGAATTAACTGATATAGCGGTTCAGTTGGTGGGATCTTCCATGTTTGTAGAGGAGATCGACTAGCCGAAGGTTGGAGATTAAGGGTATGAGGATGGACTGCCCCCGTTGTATAACCCCAAGAATATCCACAAAAAAAAAAAAGTTTGTGATACGTTATCAACCTATCATAGGTGTGGGGTAGAGAGTATTAATTTGTATTCAATGTTTGACAAAGAAGGGGACTGAGTTGACTTGTCATAGAGAATAAGCTCCTCAACAGCCCTTGCGATCTTGGCTTCTAACCACCAAAGTTTTCTAACGTGGAACCAATGATAATAAACCCATGCAATCATAACATACATGAGACCCACAAGTGAGAGATTGAATGATGTGGGTTTCATGTATTTTATGATTGGCATGGGGTGTATCATTGATTTCAATTAATCCAATTCCGCACTGTTGTAAGTAATCAATCAATTTTGAACTTTTATTAGATCATTTTGCTCTCATGGTAGATATCCCATCTTTCAAATCTCTCTCTCCACCATGTGAGGCAAATAAAGAGAAGAGAAAAAATATATATAAAGAAAATTTTAAATTTTGGGTTTTAACTTTTAAGATCCATAAAGGAAAGAGTAAAATGGATTTCATAAAAGTTTAAAATGGACAAAATACTACTAACAAGAGCAGAGTATTGGGATCTAAAAATTCGGAGTAACTCTCCATTGTAAATATGAAAACTCACACAACAAAGTGTCACTACCTCCAAAAGGGTAGTTCTTTGTATTTTATCCTTTTTCTATGAGTGCAAATACAAATATCTATAGTTGATTTGTTTATGGGCTGAGTCGGGATTTCATTCTTTTTTTTTTAACTCAAGCCCAATCCTCATAAAAAGCCCAAAGCTCAAGTTCGTCAGTTTCCTGAGTTTGCCAGTAGAGAGAGAGAGAGAGGACCTGATCACTATTACTTGAGTTCACCGAATGTCGCTGCTAGCCTACGTTTATGGCCGACTAGTCGGAGATTGATGAAAACTATGAGAGTTGAGAAATGAGAGGACTTGGCCGCTGGATCGTTGCTACTTGAGTTTGCCGGAGAAGGTAATGCAAGAAAAAAAAAAGGTTGCCGCCTACCATTGCTAGCCTACATTCGCCACCGACTCACTAGAGATCGATGGTTTGTTGGTCGTTGCTAGCTTGAGCTCTCTAAGAAGTGGGAAGTTATAAATGATATACGATGAAGATAGGGAAAGGGAAAATCAGGTAAGGTTTTTAGTTTTATGAATTTATAAATAATAATAAATATTAGGATGCAAATGGATTGGATCGGCTTCGAATCAAGGTATATTCAAATTCGATTTGACACTGTTCATGTCGGATTCAATTTGATAGGACTCGATTTGAATTTGAATCCTATCGGTAAGTCAGATCTTCAGATTTGATCCAATTCGACTTGTTTTCTTTAAAAATAAATAAATTATTAAAAGAAAATTTAAATAAAATAAAAACAAAAAATACAAGTATTTTTTAATTGTTTTCATCATATATACATGTTTTTATAAATAAATAAATAATGTAACAAATTTATAAAAATATATTTATAAATAAATAAATAACATATATATAATATATATATCGGATCGAATAGGGGGTGATTCGAATCCGATCCAAAGATCCGAACAGGGGGTGATCTGAATTTGACCAAATAGGATGGGATCATGATCCGATCCATTTGCATCCCTAATAAATATTATATATTTTATATTATATAAAATAGTTAGACTTGAGTTGGGCTTTTTTGGCAAATCCTGAGCCCGACACACAAAGCAATCGGGCTTGGTGTTTTGGGCCCGAGGTCAAGCCTGTGGCCTTAAAAACATGTCCAAGCCCATCGAGGTACCAAGCTACGCCGTTGGGCTACCCAGCCCATGAACAGGTCTGATCTACAATATAAATACGTACAAAATAATACAAAATACAATGTTTTTCACTATACATATTTGCATTTATACTCCTTCCAAACAGAGCTTAATGAGAAAAGGAGAAGACACATAATTTTAGTAGAAAAAGAAAGAGCTAAATTTATTTTTAATTTTTATCCAGAGCCAAACCCTTCACATTTGAACCTAATAGAAGTGAAGCAACAGTAAGAAAACTTAACAATTTATTTTGGAAATTGTTAAAAAAAAAATTATCAATAGATCCGAGGTGTTGTCAAGCGTTGTGCCCACGTGTGTTGATGTGGTGCAGTAAAGTGCCCCTCACATTGCCATTAAGGCGTTATTGGGGATAAATCGACCGCATGAGGTTTATATTTGGAAGGAGTACAAATATATTTACGTTCTTGTACATATTTATATTTGTACTCTTTTCAAACTGAGACTAAAGCTGTGTTTGATTGCAATACAAAATTATGATTTATTTTTGTTTCGAATTTTACCTTATTTTATTTAATTGCAGTAATTATGATTTATGAAGTAAAATAAGACCTAAATCAGAATAAATAAAACCTAAAAGAAAATTAAACCAGAATTTACATTTATTTTCATTTGCATTCATGCATTTGTAGTAGTGTAAATAAAACTGCACTGTAATCAAACGCAGCATAAGGAATTTTTTTGATGCCTCTAGTGACAACTATTGAGGATCATTCCCTACAAAACCAGGCTCCACTGTCGGCAGGATTTAACTTTTAACCAGCAATGGGCTTCTTGCCCAATTAGGAAAGCCCAACAACGGTTGAAACGTTAATGATTTTATTCTTTTCTTATCTGCTCCCTCCTGTCTTAAAAACATTCCATGGTAAAGAAGTCTTCGTCAAAGCTGTTGGATCATGGACGTGCACATGCTTAGCTCCCTGATTTGAAACATTTAAAGGATTAATGTGGGCCTTGTCAGCATCTACCTATAGGTAGGGGTGTCAATTGGACAATATTTGATCTAATAAGTCAATTGGACAATATTTGATCTAATAAGTCAATATTTGATCCAATCCAATTCAATGAATACTTTGGATAATTTTAGACCATGTCAAATCCAATTTAATGTCTGGACTGTACACTATACTCAATTTGGTTTTAATTTAGATTGGTTCCAATCCAAACTTAATCCATTCACACCTGTATTTTTATCTTCTATTAATGGATAAGATATTGTTTCAATCGGACCCAATCCAATTTAAATCTGTTACAGATGGACTAGGCTTAATCTAGTCCAATAAATACTTTGGACTATTAACTCTGGACTGGTCCAATTCAATGTCTTATTGATCCATCCAATCCATCCAAATTGGTATTAATTTGGAAGGGGTCCAACAGTCAATTGACATGTTCAAATCTCCTATTCACACATCACTACAGCCACACATTGGGAATATCTCCAATATTTCCATGCTATCATTCATGGGGAGATACTTCAATGTAAAGCTATAGTATCTTGCAGGTAGGTGTGGATAGGATTCTTGTGGCTAGGAGATCCAGATTGTCAATTGACACCCTGGCTATTGGGCATCTCTTGAGCGGGTTCGGCTCAGTTCATTTCCATGAATATCTGCCTAGGATCGACAAACCTAAGCCTGCTCCATATCATGCTCAACCAACCCAACAGGGGAAAACATTAAAACAATAATGTACTTGTGATGGATGTGGTGGGTTCGGGTTATAAAACCGTAATCATAGATTGGACCTATGTCCGATATTTGGAAACGTTTCTTTCCATGACCTGCTTGGGTTCAATTTGGGCAGGCCCAACCCAAGCCCGGATCAATCCAACGTGTAACTTTACAGAAGCTAGGGTTGGAATTTTGGTCTTCGAGTTGGGCCTGTCACCAAAAAATTGGGCTTTTTATGTATTGGTCCGAGCTTATGTCTAGCCCTTAGGTAGCCCAAGCCCTGCCCAACCTCATCCTAACTTGAGTCCGGCCTGTTTATAGAAATGCATATATATATACCACACACACATATATATA